TCCACGTAATAGCAATATTGATTGGTATTCATGCAAACAAAATGAAAGAAATAATATACAACTCCTTGCCTTTTTTTAGACATTTTGACAAATCAAAATAAATTGTTTGTGTCTTTTGTGTTTTCTACGCTAATTACATTTTTTACGTCTTGAAAAGAAAGGGTCCAAATCCAGGTTTGCTACGATCTAAAGTCAATCTTTTTGTTAGGCATATATGGCATAGTTCATTTATTTTCTGATGACAAATGAAATTTGGGTCTCTCTTAAAAGCGTCTTTTTATTTTTATTTTAAATGACTTTTTACTATAGAACAAAACGAAAACTATTCCAAAATAAGAAATCTAACTGTTAGTTTCCTACCATAAACGAATAATTTATCTCAGTTTCATTATCTATATTTTATTTTCCTAATTATTTTAGTGTTCATATTCAATGTAGCAACAAACAAAGATTAATCCAATTAAGAATTCCAAGTTTTTGTTTCCAGCACAAACCAATACTTTACCCCAGTTTTCAAACTAAAGTTACGTCGTGTGCTTTTATCTGAAAGCAAAGCTAATTTCTATGTGAGATGTAACAAGTTCACCAACTAGAACAGCGGCGCCGCCCCTCGCATGCTCCAGTATAGAACGAGATTAAAGGGAGTGTGGAAGGATAATCATATTGGAGTGGCTACATTGAACTTTTATGTTTGATAATGGAAGTCACATGGCTGTTTTAACTTATAACACCATTACTCTAATGCAGTATTGGGTTAACTATATTAGGTGGCCAACAATGGAAAATTGGGGTTAGTCACTTCATAATATAATTCAATGAACCAATATGAACTAAAGCAAATATTTGGAAACACTTTATATGTTTTAAATTAGTTTGTAACTAGGTTGTTTTTTTTTACTTGACAATAGTGATTTTTGGTATGAGGATGAACATAGTAATTACATTAGATTGATATCCATATATAAACCCCAAAGTACCCATGAACTTTTGAGAAAACTACAAGTCACACCCTCATAAACTTATACTTAAAATGTCTGTTATGAAGAGAAACCTTGTGGAAAACTATCCATTATTTCATAAATTGCCCTTTAAAGTCGTATTTCCTTTCTAAAGGAAACTTTCCACATACCTAATGTTAAAAATACCTAAGCTGTAATTATTTGTATGTTATTCTTTTTAATTTATTACCTTATTAAAATCAGGTGTGATTATTTGTTTGTATTACTGTATTCTGCTTTCTTAATTTCAGCTTTTATTTACTTAACTTAACCAATCATTAGTTTTATTTATACTTAATACTTATGAATTCAAACGGGGTTAAACCCATGGGTAATGCTAGTATTAAACAAACGGCAATTACCAACATTGAATATTCGTATACAGTGGTTAAAGCAAGAAATTAATGTAACATTAGGGGTTTTCTTTTCGCTGGCTTAGTCAGAAACAAAAAGATATGTAAAAACCGACTAAACTCTTTGGAAGTTCACAAGACGTACCTAAAGGGGATTTTAAGAACACTAATAGGCCTATGAGTTGGTAGATTTTACGATTTTCCTTTGTGTAAGATTTCAGCATTGACTGTTAAGAGGTTTTTTTTTGTCAGCCACGAAAAACACCCAGAAACTATCGTTATTCCCTCTTTAAGGTACTGACCGAGTAAAAAATACTGCATAATTTTTACCTAATTCGTCATCTAAAGATTAACTACATTTCTTCAGTTCTTGTCATTATTTGTTCAGCTTAAGAGCCGGAATATTTATTTTGTAAATTTTTAATTTTCCTTATTACTAACGAATATAGCGCACATCCTAAATTCACCCTAAAATGTAAGGAAATCATTAAGTCAACATTACGACTGAAGCGTAGCCAGACATGGATCTTGCACCTGAACAAGCTTTAGATTTACATTAAGATAAGGCCTACCGAAAGTAAATTTTAATATTTAAAATAATTGGACTGCTTATCAGTTTAACTTAGCTTACTCATAATTTAAGGAAAATATTAACATCATTTTTATAGAAATATAAGAATTGTCAAACAGTTATTATCTGACAATACCTTTAGTCTGAATCTATGGAAGTAAAATCTTTGCACCCGGATATTGTTTTGACTATGATGGTCCAGTCGATGGGTTCGATTTTAAATATTTATATTTTAAAAGCTTTGTTCCACCAGCTTAAATAGGGATCTCTCATATGAGCGAATGAATATGCATCAGGTATCAAACAAATGTGGTCATTCACTAGTCTGTCGCAAAATGTCCAATCCCACAAACTGGTTAAACGGATCACCGGCTTTTAAAAGTAAAGTAAGTTTAAAACATTTTACTCTATTTTCACAACAGGTGTGATCATGAATGTTGCCATACAAAGGCACAAGATATAAATATCATTAACGAACACGTGTATCTTACAAAGTATAAACCACACTATTTACATTAAACCCCCAGAATATAACAATATAAGTTTTGCAAGGCATATACAGCAGGACTAGCAGAATACCCGTCCTTCTTACGGGGTTGGCGTAAAAGTATAAAATGCTTATTGCAGTTATACTTGTGCTTTGCGTTTGCAATGGGAGCGTTTTACCTCTCTACAACAGCTAAGCGAGTGTAACTTTAGGAGACTTTATTTTAAGAGAGGCATGGGACTCGCAATGTATACTCATAAGGTTAACATGGGAAACTCTAGAGCCACTGGGGCGGAGCCCGAACGGATTTTTGAGATAAGAATATGTCTATATGTTAATCGGAAATGTGAGCTATCATCATACCAAATGTCAACCCAATTTGACGAATAGTTAAGGGGGATTGTACTTCAAACAAACAAACAAACAAACAAACATATAAACAAACAAACACACAAACTTTCACATTTATAATTTTAGTATGATAACTTTGATACAACAGCTAGGTTCTCTTGCATTGGAAGGAAACAAATGATTGATTCTTCTTTACTTCAAAAGGCCAATTACTTATATCGATTCATTTAAAATATAATGGAGAATGGAATATTATATGAACTGGGTGTGACCACGCCCGGCCACGTGACTTCTTTGTTCTTTAGTCTTAGGGTGGATCATCCCCAACAGAAGCATGAATTAATCGTAAAAATTGTATTACATTTACATATATAAAGCAGCGTTTTTTAGAATAACCCAATACGCCATATGCGCTAAAGTAACTCAATATTTCAAGTCATTTGTATTAAAACCACCCTTTGAGGGAGATCTAAAGGAGATATCCTTAGTAATCAATAATAGTGTTACCAAAGTCGGATGAGAAGTTTACTTTCAACGATAAAAACAGTGGTTGAATCCACAAGGTACCTTTACTTTGAATTATTTATGTACAATTTGAGGAATGTCTTGTTAAGTGCGCCCTGTAAATTTCACTCTAACAAAGAGACAAACATTTATAAAATTGGTAAACTTAACGTTTAATGACATTAACAGAACGCACATGCATATGTTTCTGACTTTACAATTGTATGCCAGGTAAATTCGCGGTATTCAAAGATAGTGGCCCTTTTTGGAAAGTATATTTTCTGATGTTTGGGCACACAAAAAATAAACTATATGTGCACTAACGCAGTCAAAGCCTACCGGGCATAGCAAACAGACACAAGCTTCAGATTTTACGGTACTTTCCTGTTAAAGGGAACATTCATTATTATCGATGATTTATTTTCGATATATCGATATTTTTGTTTCACTTCACGATTGGTATTCCTTCTGTTTTAATATCTTCAAACGCATTTAAATTACAAACTAGGAACTAACCTTGTTTAGGCAAAAATAATAGCCTATATATTGGATTAGGATAAGAAACTATTCTAAACTAACCTAAAATAACTAACCAAACATGCTGTATAGGCTAAGTTACCGTTTCAATATTCAATTTGATAACAGAAAAGGCATATGGGGAATAGGCTATCAAACGGAATTTTGAAAATTTACAGCAAGTTTGGTTGGTTAGGTTAGTTTAGAACAGTTTCATTTCAATATAATATTTTTTTAATTGTTTGTTGATACTGAACAATATTTATTTACTCTATCCTATATCGTACTTGTCAGCTGACATGTTTCAATTTGTTACTATCAATATATCGGATGGAAAACAAAAATATCGATATATCGAAAAGAAATCATCGATAATAATGAATGTTCCCTTTATCAGGAAAGTACCGATTTTACAATAGGGTAAAATGTCTACTTAGAGAACCCAAAGTAAATCACTGAACTTAACAAAAGTTGTTGGGAAACGTTGTCCTCACTGAAACGGTTAGGAATTGACCCGGAATACCACAACTTTGATGTAACAAGCAAGACAAACGGGAGTGAAATACCAGCTTGGATTGTTTTCCTGCTGCCGCATAACGTAAAAGTTGTATTTAACTTTTGAAATTGAATTTGTACGAGCTATTGATGTAACACCAACTAAATTTTAATCAAACTGTTTAAGGTTTGGCGATTAGTTAAGAGGAGCTATATTGATTTTATAGTTAAAGAATATGACCTTTAGAGAAAGGAATGCTTCAATCAAAGAAGATGCCGTGTATTTAGAGTCTAATAATGTTTATTTTCTTACAGTAAAGGTAAAGGTAAAGGTACTGTAAAGGTACTCTTACAGTAAAGGTACTCTTACAGTAAAGGTACTGTAAAGGTACTCTTACAGTAAAGGTACTCTTACAGTAAAGGTACTGTAAAGGTACTGTAAAGGTACTTACAGTGTGTTATAGAGTGCCAACTACCGAGTCCAAACATCACTAATAGATCAGTACTTTACCTACAAAAATCAATAATTATTGTAGTTGTTATATTACTACAACACCTATACTATAAACCTATACACTGCTATGCATCTTTTAAGACGATTCTTAGTAGGCTACTAAACGTAACAGAAGGTACAAACATAGACTAAAACTAGCCACGAGGCTTTTAGTGGCATATAATATTTGCATGATTACAAACATCTTGGTTAAACCTTTTTCTTGTTTCAGTGAGCTACGATGATTGTCCGGATGAGCTGAAACAAGAGAAGTCAAGGAAGGAATACAACAATAAAGGTAAGTCTGAATTGTTTGCGAGTATAGGAAAAAATATTAATTATACAGGGTGTCCCGGAACTCTCTACCAATATTTTAGGGCATTGTTCCTGGGTAAGAAACATATCTAAATATCATATTTAAATTGTCCGGAAGTCCTTAGTTACTCAGATAGCCGCCATTTTGTTTTTTTCACTTATTAATTTTTTTCTGAAAATTGGTTAAACATACGAAGTTGAAACTTTGCAGTTTTCGTAGTTTTAGTTATGGTAGTTTTAGTGATACGTGACCGCCGGATATTAGTTGCAGCGCATGCTGAAAGCGGTCACGTATCACTAAAACTGCCATATCTCAGTTAATACTCGTCCGATCTTAAAGATTAAGGTGTCGATCGATTTTTAATAAAATTGCCTTAAAAAAGTTATTCTTGTACAATTTTTGTAACATCAACGGTTTTCGAGTAATTTAAGAAACAAAACTTTAAACAGCCGCCATTTTTTTTTATGAATTTTAAAAATCGTCATAATTTTTTTATAGCTTTGTCTATTTGTCATAAATGTTTGTGCAAAGTTTCAACTTCGTATGTTGAACCAATTTTCAGAAAAAAATTAATAAGTGATAAAAACAGAATGGCGGCTATCTGAGTAACTAAGGACTTCCGGACAATTTAAATATGATATTTAGATATGTTTCTTACCCAGGAACAATGCCCTAAAATATTGGTGGAGAGTTCCGGGACACCCTGTATATTTAGGTATTGTAATGAATTGTAAAAATTTCTGTTTTTGCGGAGGTGCTACATGGAACTAACCTGTCTAGCTTCGCATATGGACTTAACATTTAGGTTGACTAAAAAACAATAATTAAGGCATTTTTAATGATTTTGTTTAGAGAAATATCTACATTATTTTCCTTACAGCAAGAGCCAAGGGCATAAGTACAAAAGTTACAAATTGTTCTTCTTACAAAACACTGCCACCCTTAAGGCAAACTAAGCCACGGAAAGGTGAGTTACAAAACAGTTTAAATACCTTGATAGAGCTTCATGCTCAATTACATTGACGCCAGATGGCACTGTCGCAGGAATCGAACCGGAAACACAATTCAGACCCTGTCGACTTCCGCTTCCTACGTAGGCGCAATAATTCCCCCTTTGTTAAGCATTATGCGAAGGGAAAACTGAATTCGTTACAAATGTAATATTGAACGGATTGATGTTGAAATATGACTCGTGTCTCCCTCCGTATCTTGATTTATAACTCGATAACGCAGCAAAGATTCTTGGAAACTCAATCCTGCATTTCATCATTTGATTTGTTACTTTATGCATATGGAATATTACGCCTTCTTGTGTGTTAGAAAAATCGTATATATGGAAAATCAGTAGTTTTGTCTGCTTATATAGCCTATATTGAATCTTGATTCGTATCAGGATGTCATTATGAGTTAAAATTAGAAGCTGCAATAATTATTTATATGATTTTTTTATTGAAAAAATTTTGCAAACATGTAGATTTTTACGTCGTTATTTAAAAAAGTTCCTCGTAATTAAATTAGTAGACCATAAACAGTTATGGCAATTTAAATGATTCTAAGAAATAAATAATTATTCTAAGCTAACTTACTTGTAGTTTCAAACCTATAAACTTCTCCCCTTTATCTAAGTCTTAGTAAAATATAATAAACACTGAAAATAATTTATAAACAAGTTAACAACATATTAAATAGGTTACGTTTCTTACATCTTGCCAAGACGATCCGATACATTTGGTAAATTTAAGGTAAATTAGATATAAAACTACAGAAGCTAACTGGATGGTTGTAAAAATTACACAGTAGCCCTCTTTGGCTACGCAGGACGCATCTCAGTGCAGGCTAACTGGACAGATAATTTCTTAATAAACCATTGTGATCAAAACGGTTTTTAACAATACTGATTTATCTAATCACCATCCTCATTTTAAAAAGGAATTAAATACTAAACACAAATGCAAACGCGTACTTAGGAACGGGAGCGTGTGATTCATAAGAGTCAATTTTCAGATAGGTTACTTAATAAAATGTTATTCCAGCCAGGTTGACGCAATGTCTGGTTGAAACATACTATTATTTATTATTGCTAATCTAAGGATACAAATTAGAAACAGAGGTAAATTACAAATTAGTAGGCTGATGAAAGGCTGATGAGGTAGGATGATGAAGTTTTAATAAACTTAACTTGACGAATATCACTTATTGGAGTTTTCCTTAAAGGTCATCTTTCATGTTTGTAAAATACAGTTTAAACTGGACTTGATATATAATTGTAAAACAACGTATTGTTTTAATTTACCTTTCAGTTCATTATGGTGGAAATAAAGTGTAGGGAATATGACTAGTCTAGGAAAACCCTTGATTTTCATTTCCGGCCGAACATAGCCGGTTAAAACGATGTCTTACCAACATTTGTGTCCCGATTTAAGATTATCCAGATAAATTGAGCCTATTGTGTATATATTTATTATTGCTGTGTAAAGAATAACCAACATAAATCTACAACGCATTGATTTTGACCTTTTTATAGTATATTCTAGACCCATAAAATGTTAAAATATAGTTTCAACCTATTCAAAACTCTACTTAAAATGGCGAACACTAACTATTAATCCTATTCCCAATCCAGTAAACCATAAGGTGACAATGTGGTGTGAGGATGATACTAGCCACATAATATCAATCTGTCAGGAACACCATACCACCCCAATCTCGCACCTTTGCAATTTGTTCTAAATAATTACCCCTCCCCCCAACCTACCCTACACCATCAGTTATACCTTTGTCACCAGTAATAATTACCAATCAATCAAGCGGGGGGAATCACTAGAGTAATTAGCCTCGACATAAATCATTATTGAATTAAAAATCAATCAATAAATTGCGGAAGAGAAACATTTTTAGGTGGATATTGTGAAAATAAAAGGTTTTTTTCGCGACACTATGTTCTAAAAGCATCAATACTGTGTTTATGTGTCTAGGCTGTGTGTAGTTTTCATAGAGTTTTAACCAATTTGACATATTATTTAACATTTTATGTGCAATTGAGAAACTTATCTTAGAGTTTAGAGTTTCTTGAATGTTCTCAAGGGAAAAACAGAATATTGTTGTTTCTTAAAACATTTGCTTACAAGAAACGCAGGATGCTATTATGCTTAATGTGCTACTATAATATTTTTTCCACTTCAAGAGAAGGCAGTTAAGAAATTTTAGTTAAAACCACCTAATTTAATTTTTAGATACATAGAATATTAAGTTATAGTCTTAAAATACATCTTTAGGACGCCACAAAGAGCAGTGAATTGTATTTTTCAAGTGAAGAGACTGTACTCAAAAAAATGTTTTATAGATTTTGCTTTCATTTGACCCAACTATTGGATAATGTGTTAACGTAGTTCAAAGAAAAATAACATTTTTAAGCTAAATACTTTTCCATGCAAATAATAGAACCCTAAGTAACTAAAATTCATCTTGCCTATGTAATCTAATATATCTTGTGTTAGGTTAGTGTCTAGTTCAAATCGTTCTGACTATTTCCCTTCTGAACAGCATGTTATTAATATTAACAATCCCATCAACTGAGGTTGGTTTAAGGCTAAATCTACTTAATAGCCCAGTTAGAACTGGTATCAAAGTCCTAATGAGATGGTTCAGAGGAAGGTATCGTATAACTGAGTTACCTACGTGTCGTGAATGATACATCTGATGCTGAGATATGATTATGGTTATGATTGAAGTAACACCACAGCAGCACCCAACTGCTGTAGTAACTGTAATATGATTTACTGGGTAAATTATAACTCATAGTTTAATAACTTACTGATAAATGTAGGGATCCCCTTTTGGTGTATTGTATTGAGTACTAAACTGATGCAGATACAACATTTTATTTTAGGGGGCTAGCTAATTAGGAAAAAATGCTTAAGTAAAAATACTGCATAGTTCTTTTATAGATAGGCGAAACTCTATTTTAAGATATAATCTGTAACTTTTGGCAATCCCATTACCACGTAGAAAAGTCATTAGTGATTAAGATGTGAATCCGTACTCACAGTACAGATGTCCTGTGCTCAAACCACTAAACACAACCTCCCACCAATGCATAGAGATGCACTCAGTTTCTTTAAATTTGGTTAAACAAATAGCATACCTAGAAAATATGTAGTCAAAACTTTCACTTGGACACTATTTTTAAGTACGGCTAAATCTTACACATAGCTCCTTCCTAAATAAGGCTTCGCACAAAACTAAATGGTTAATGGCCTCCCTGCTCAAGACGAAGTGTGAAAATACCTGTTTTAAGTTTACGAAGTAAACCATTTTACTTCTTTATAAACATCGGTCTTAATTTACTAATTTCTTTTTATCTGTGTCAGTTTAACTCTAAAAGGTTAATAAGGTAAATATTAAAGTATCAAAAACTCCTTGTTTAGAAAAATTGTATGGATGAAATAACATGAATAATTGTTTATCTTTTACAAATCGACCTCTGTTTTTTTAACAATCAACTGACTTTACACATTTGAAACCGTTGTTAGTCTGACTGTAAAATATTTCCGTCCGTCTCTAATATCATTTTAACAATTTTACCTACGACCGTTTTTTAAAGTAGCCGTTTCAGTACAGTTCTTAGAATTGAAAAGTATCTCACAACAGCATTGTTTACTTTCATAACAGCATAGTATTACTCATAACAACACGGGTAACGGACCAATGAGGTTCAAGGATTGAGAGAGGAGAAGCAAAATTGTAATGATTCGAAATTCAACTAATCAGCTGTTCAGGCCAATTTAATTGTTAACACTATCTTTACGCAATCGTTGCGTAAACTACTATAATGATACATTCTGTTATAATAACATATTCTATTATCTTGTCAACTAAACTTAAAGTTATAATCAAATTTAAAGGGTAATTCTGAATAGGATTACTACCTTGTAATACCTAGCATGTTATTAAGTTGAAGGTAAAATCCCTTATTTTCGATC